CTTAACCCCCTTTGGGGAATTTTGGGGGCCCCCCCCCCCCCCCCCCCCCCCCACCTCCACCCTCTGCTCAGTAGTCTAACAACTGAGGCACGTAAAACGTGAGTACCTCCCCCCAGACCACATTCCTCTATTGCCATGCGCCGCATCTCACCAAGGCCAGCACGCGGGGTAGGCCTACATCCCGGAGAACCGTGTCCGTCAGGAACGAGTACGCAACCGCGACGTCGGCGCCTCCGAACACCAGCAGGACCGGGAGGTAGAGGCGGTTGAGGAGGAAGACCGCGGCGTAGCAGGCGAAGGCCATCGTGCTGCCCGACAGCGGCCCGTACCCGAGGGCGGACATGCGCTCTCCTGAAGGTTGAGGGAAGATAAAAAAAAAAAAAAGACCCGAGTTGGATGAGAATGAAGCGCGGTAGGAAAGTTGTTCCGCAAGTGTGCCGAGCGTCCACACGAGCAGCACCAACCAGAAGCACATACGCTCTCCTGACAGGTAGATAGGCATATACAGCAGTAGGATCCGATAATCAAGCGGAGGGTGTTGGTAGGTTGTTCGTGCACGTCTACTACTACAGCCGTGAAAAGTAACGCCGAGGAGAAACAGACACCGCACAGCACCAATCACAACAGTGTACGACTTGCCATTGACAGGGTTACCCTACGTGAAATGAAAACAAGGCGGTACGGAGCCAAACACTACGGCTTCTCGGCTTCTCCTCCTACGATACATTGAGCAAAACACGCCACAACCCGGGCAAAATAAATAAATAAATAGCACCTCCTTGGCGATATCCTGGACTACAGCAAAAAAAAAAAAAAAACACGGTCACACCGACCAATCAAATCGCCAGTTCGACGGTCACACACCATCCGAGACTACACGCACACTTGCTCCTAGACCCAGAGAGCAACCGAAAAGCTTTTGTTATTTGTCGTCGTCTTTTGTAAGGCTAAGGCTTTATAGTAAGGCTAAGGCTCTTCCTTACCCGGGAAAACGTTGGCCATCTCCAACATAAAGGAGAACGATCGGAAGCCGACGAACGCCGCCAATCCCACCGCTACCGCAACGAAGTACAGGCTCACCAGATCCGCCAGTACCTGGCGTCGACATGCATGGCACCATGGCACGTGCGCCGCACACGGACCGACGGTTAGACGACGGATGGATGCGGTTCGTTCGGCACGATTCAGCGGGTTTTGGCGCGGAACGCTGGTCGACATCGTTGTAGTAGTAGTTTCGTCGCTGTAGGACATGGTAGGTCATGGGCGTCTTTGTACTGTTGTCACTGCCGTACACCGTATGGTCGGGGTTGTCGTCCGCCGACATTTGTCGTATTATACATTTCGTCGCTGTAGGACACGGCGGTATCTGGCGTTCGCCGTCATGCATGTGTAGGCATCGGTCGACATCATTGTTGTGGTTGCCAAGTAAGACTTGCAATACATGCAGACTCGTAGTTTTCTTCAGTATGGTTCGTTAAGGTTCGCTAGGCTCTTCCGAGTCAAAACGCACGTCAGCTGTTCGCGCTTGGGGAACGTCACCGATGGCAGCTGGCAGCTGATCCACACAACCTTGCATCACGCTCCGATGACACTACTCCCATCCTTTCATCCTCTGATAACCCCGCTCCGGAGGAACTATCTATAATACATACGTGGTACGATAAATATCTCACCTGGAGGAACACTCCCGTGAAGGGCGTTGGCGGCGCCAAAGGGGTGCTGCTCCATCGACCAACCATCACACGTTCGTTCGGCGGTTAAGTTCCACCCAGTCCAATATTGGCGGACGTCCACATCGCCACGTGTACGGTTGCGAGGGGTGCGGCGAGCGGGGGGGGGGGGGGGGGAGCACGTGTGTAAATGCATGTCGCAGTCGCTAGATAATTGGCCTCGCATCCCTACAATGGCCGGCACGGAGTATGCCGGGTTTTCGCTGGCCCAGGCTACTGGAGGGGGTTTCCAAGACGTTTGCTTTTGACGTTCGAAAGATTCCGTCACCGACCATCTCGCTCAGAACAACACGAGCAACAGTAGTGGAAGTACGCCGCATTTCACAACGAAGCAAAGCCGCCTCATGCACCATCGCAAAAAAAACAGAAAAAAACAAAAAAAAACAAGCAGTGCCTCTTCCTCGCTCTCTCGGTAGGAATCCAGCCGACACCTTTAACAACCAACGTAGAACGTACCAGACCATTCAGAACCCCACATCACCTCGACAAAAAAATGCTTCTCTCTTACCCGCTACCGGCCGCTGCTTCTAGAACCGCCAGCAACAAAATCACCCAGGAGACGGAAAATGTGCGTATGTTTTTCATTCAAGTTCAAGAGCCTCTCTCTCTAACGCCACCATCGACGCCTCTCTCGCGAAGCAGGACCCAACCCGACAACAAGAACAAGCCCCTTCGGTCTCCAACCGCCACTATTCCCGCCGCACCTGTTCCGCCGCGTAGGGTGCGCCGCCGTCGCCAGCGCTCCCACGACTCTGCCGTTCCCCACGTGGGCCTCGGGGGCCATGTAGGCGCTCGGCAGCAGCACAGTCCCGCTCCCGATGGTAACGCCGGAGCCGAAAACCACGCGGTTTCCGACAATCTTCACGAGCACCAATCAGGAGGGCGGAGGGGGACAGGAGTTGTGAAGCGGGGGAACAAATCGGCCGTGCGCAGTCGGCGCCAAATTTTCGTGCAACCTGGTGAGTTTTATTTTAGCTGCGGGGTTGGGGCGAGGCATGCCCCCGTATCCAGGTGACTGGTTTCTTTGTGGAGGGAAAAAAATGACAATACAGTCCATTCTGAATATGTTGTGTTGTAGGCCGCCGTGAGCGCAGAGAGGAAGACTCGGTCCTCTGTCAGATCAAGACGATTTCTTCAACCCGTCGGCTCGTCCGCGCGTCAACTCTGATCGACTGGTTCTCTTCGCGGCGTGGACGCAGGCAGAGGGTCTTTTCGTCCCGACCCCCCCTGCCGCGGGCTCCAGACTCGAAGCGCGAGCCCGAGTCATGTACGCCACACCTACCCTGAAGCACGCTCCAATCTACAATAGAGTCAACGTGACGCATGGCAAGAAAAAAGCTCCGGAAGTACTGCTGTAGTACAAGGCACGAAATAGAAAACGGCAACGTGTCATCACCTGGTGCCCGCTGAGATCGGCGTGCTCGTTGATGGTGCTACCGTCCCCCACGGTCACCAGGTCAGGGTCGGATATCTGTGGCCGGAGGAATCCAATCCGTGCATAAATTATCGTAACGACAGGAATGGAATCGGTGCATAAATTATCGAAACGACAGGAATGGAATCGGTGCATAAATTATCGTAACGACAGGAATGGAATCGGTGCATAAATTATCGTAACGACAGGAGAGGAATCGGTGCATAAACTATCGTAAAGACAGGAGAGGAATCGGTGCATAAATTATCGTAACGACAGAACCGAGGAAATGAGGAATTCGGGGGACCGCCTTCGCGAGAAATGAAAATTTACGAGAAAATAGAACAGGGAGGGGGTACGCAGACCGTATTCCCTAACCCGGACCCTAACCCAACTTCCCCGATTGATTGCATGCTTCATCTAACATGTTTACTAAATCGAAACCCGCCAAAGGCTACTGCCTGGAGTGAACGTATCTATTAGCAGTGACGGCGCAAAAAACAAAACAGGAAAGATGACGTCTGTCGTTCCACCTATTCAGGGCACCAGTCTACAGTCTACACCTTATGTTGTATGTTTGAGGAAGGAAAACAAGACACGATTTTTCTTTTTCGGAGATGAGGGGGAAGAAACGAAAATTTTGTCAAGGGAATGAACAACACCAGACAGACAAGCAGCATAAACGCGAAAAAACTCCAACGCCGTGGATGCATACCGCCGTCAGAACCAAAAATCGATAGGAAGTAGTTGCGCATATCGAACCAAAAACATCGACTGGTCTGTACAGCACATGCCCTTCGACTAGCTGTGGGGTGCGCCAAGCATGTACCCCACGGTGTAAGCTGGCTCCCGCGGAACCACTATTATACCAAAAGCTCCTTCCTCACCCTGACAGTGTTCAGGAACACATCCCTCCCCAGCTTAGCTCCAAGGAGGCGGTAGTACCACACCACCAGGCGACCTCGCCTGATCTCGTCAACGAACAGCAGCCCCGAAAAGCTCTGCAGCCGCTGGATCGTCCACCACAGAAGGTGCCGGACGCTGGGTTTCCAATCGAAAAAAGGCGTTTCATGTTGCGGTTGAGGGACAGGGGAGGGGGGGGTTGTTTGATCCATTTTAGTGCTGATGCTATGGAACCAGAAACACTTGATGCTGGATGGTGAGCATTGGATGCGCGGTAAACAGTGGATATTGCCGTGCGTCACCGACCTCCAACGACCCCCCCCCCCCTTCCCAAAAAAACGCCTCCCCTCAGGGTCTTTACCACACCGAACCAATCGTCTGTTTGGAATCTGTTCGTCGCTCAAGTTCCGTCCATCCGTTGAACGTCGTGTTAACTCGCAACTTCAGCCCTACAGTACGCCCATCCCGTCTCTTTTTCATCTATCAAGGCCATTCGACTTGTTCTTGTTTTTCTGGCAAACAGGCATATCCATAGGGACTGGACTGTCAAGAAAAGGGCAGCAGTCTTGAAAACAAATATACCCGCAACCCCCCAAAAAAAAAAATAACACCCACAACAAGAACGATGGGGAGAAACCGCCGGGGCGTGCCTCAGACGTGGAGGCAGTGGCATCGCTTTCGCCAACAGCTTCGTGTGCTGTGCTTTCGTCCCATCAAATCTGGCGCTACACACCTCTCAGTGTAGACTATACCTTTGACGTGGTATATCAGCCGGGGGCACACAGGAGCAAGATCAATCACACAAGAGCCTCTTCCTCGTTATTATTCTTTTCGCAACGCCAGAGGCAAAACATTGATATTATTTTTCGTTCTGAAAAGGTGTACCCCTCTTTGCGTAGTTGGTCGCGTCCGTTGGACCAGTACGGACACTTGATGACCGAGACGGTTTTCAATGTGAAGACAACAACAACAACCATAATAGGAGAGTCTTGCCCAGGCCACCCCGCTCGAAAACTAATTACGCCGCACCTGTGCGTATTGAAGGTCTCCCCCGGCCTCACCCTCCCGACAAGAAGCCACTTGCTCGCCGCCACAAGCAGGCAGAGGCACAGCCCATACAGCATCCATGCCAAGGGCAGGGTGGCGAAGATGAGCAGGCACGAGCCCCCCAATGGGGCCGCCTGGGGAAATTGCCATGGTTCAGAACGAGGTGAGTTATTGGGGGTGGAGGGGTGTATGTAAACGCATGCCGCAGTCGATGGACCATAGACCTCGTATCCCTACATGAATAATGCAGGGGCGGAGGGAAAATGTCGGGTTTGATTTTGGCCGGCCCATCTATCTCGCGGGAAGCATGTATGGGGT